TTTCAATTTCAACTTTCACGTCCAAGTATAATGAAAATGATGTGATAATTGACATCCTCGCACCTCTCTCACATACGAACAAATGGGTCATGACACTCAGAAAGCGAAAATATTGTTCGTGTTCTACGTATATTTCATCAATTTGTAGAAAAATTATTAAGGGTGAATTTGTTTTTGTTATGCAGTAGAATTTGTAATAACTATTTAATTTTGGGCCACGTCTCTTTTCTCAATTTTTAGTTTTTTTACCACTTCCCTGCTCTAGTAATACATGTGATTGGGGGGAAGTGTCAAGTGAAATGATGAATGCGAGATTGCAAATTCGTTGATTTTGCAAAAACCCAAGATCGGATCAATTATTAAAGAAAAAATTCAATATTTCAATAAATTTTAATCAAAATCAAGCCATGCACAAGTTATTGGCAGCTCATATAAAATTAATTCACATATTTTTAATTAATTATTGCACTCTAAACCCTTAAATTCTAACAAAATATTGAACTAGGTCCCACTCAAATAAATTGTTATGATGAAAATATGTCTTGCACTGCATTAACATGTCACGACTAGTAATTTTATCGGTCGTTTTTATCATTCTTTGTTGTTGTTGTTGTTATGAGTCTGTTTGGATTGGATTAAAATCTGATTTTAATTTAAGTTAAAGTCAAACAATCAATATTAACCACATCTTTCATGGGTCCCACATCTTTTCAATCACATATTTCAAAAACTTCTATCATAATTCACTAAAAATCTAATATAATTCCTCTCGTCTAAAAATCTCAGATGTCAAAGAACGCTGCATGTTTCTATTTAAGTGTCTGTTTGGTTCGAATTAAAATCTGATTTTAATTCAAGTCAAAGTCAAACAATCAATATTAACCACATGTTCATGGGTCCCACATCTTTTCAACCACACATTTTAAAATTTTTTATCACAATCCACTAAAAATCTAATTTAATTCCCACCAAACACCCTCTATTATTATTTTCTTGAAAGTGAAAATTAGAACCGAATACCTCAACCTTTTGGCTAGTTTAGAAATGGTCTCCAATCTTCAGAAGTGATTTTTTCACTCTCCAACCTATATAACGTCGTGAGATTGGTTTCCCATGTGATGAAAATCGACAACGTGGATGTGCAAATGACACGTGCCTTTTCTTGTAAATTAAAGTTCGAAGTCAAGACTAACAAATGGCTTAATAATTTTCCTAATTTTAATGGGCTGTCACGTCACGTTGGGATTCAATTCACAATGTTAAAAAGATTGGGAAGTCAAAGTCAAAATCACAATGATAAATAATATGAAGTAAAGTATTTTATGTAAGATTGCCGGTTGGGATGAAACAATTAATAGGTGCAAATATCAACATCCGAAGCAGCCCAACACAGCGCGACACTCTCAATTTTCGCAAGAGCAAGACAAGGACCTGCTTTGGCTCCTGCCCAAATTCTCGTGCCTTTCCAATTTAGGATATCTCAGAATTTACCTGCCTAAACTTCGTCCATTGTCTATATTATCTATAAAATTTAGTCCATGTTTGGTTTGGATAAAAATTAATGAAATAAGTAGTTGAAAATTTGATAAAAATTGTGAATCTCATAAAATATATATTGAAAAATTAATTTTAAGAAATAAGGACCAAACATAGACTTAGTATGAGGGTCGCACACATTAAAATAACTATCATACATGATCAAATCAACTATTAAGCATGGAAGTGGAAGCACAAAATTTACACATTAACTGACACGATACTAATTTTCCTAAGCAGTTAGATAAAGCATCATACATATCATTTTGTAAGGGGGGTGTTTGATTGACTTTATATTCCATGAAAAATGTCATTTTCCACACAAGTTCCTATTTTTGGGCGTTTGATTGACATTTTTTTCATAAAAAATAATTTCCAAAAGTTGATCATTTAACCATGTTTTCCTTAAAAATAAGGAATATATTTTCTTTATGGGAGGACATGTTTTTATTTTTTTAGACAATTCACACTTTTCAAAATCTCAACTTTATGAAAAAAGTACAACATTTTTTGGGTTAAAAATTAAGTCAATCAAACACATTTAATCGACAATTTTCATACAAGTTCCTAGAACTTATTTTATTTTCACGCAAGTTCCATAATTGCAATCAAACATGCCCTTAAATATTATCATCATTACACCCTTCATGCGTAGACTAGTTCATTTTTTTCACTTCAAATCATAAAACGCGTTCGAATTTATTTAAAAGAATTGTTGAACCATTTAATTTAAAAACTAAAACTGTTTTGAGAATGTCAAGTATGTATCAGATAAATATTGCTATTTTTTAGAATGATTATACAAGAAATCCACATCTATTTTAATAGGTGTAAAGTCGTTTTTCTCATTTTATGAATTTATTTTCCTCATTTTTATCCAAAAATTTAAAAAGAAAAAAAAAGTTATTTGTAAAACTACATGTCACCTATAAATATTTCACGAAAATTGCAAAAGTGTCCTCAATCTTTTTTGCAAAAAGTGTAAATAAGTCCCCAGTATTTTATTGACACAATCATCCGCCTCTGAGAAAAATAAGTAGCGGAAGGACCTTTAAACAGTAGACTTACAAACTTTTGTTAGTCGTGCGATGTGATAGTGGACATCTCTTAACTTTTATGGAAGCAAAAGGGTGCATACTTTCGAACTAATTGAATATCTATATCAGAAATTTCTCGAATTGGTTAGTCATTTCCGTAAATTATATGATCGACAAATGATTATAATTAAAAATATTAGGAAAAAAAAAGATGAAGGAAATGAAAATTCTTCATTTTTCCTCACACCCACTCTATAGCCACCCCACCTCATCCCACTCCACCCCACAACTACCATAACAAATTGATTGATTTTCTTGTTCAAGGAGATTGATAGGGAGATAGGTGGCAAATAAGGATTGCTGAGATAAAATCATTTTTTTGTTCCAGATCCAATGAATTGTACATGTAGCATGCTTCATAATAAATTGCCACCACCATATCCACTTCGACAATATCGTAACCACCTGTCAACAACTAGTTTCAACCACCATTTCCACATTCACAACCAATCGTTAATATAACAGTTACTAATAATGGTTATCACATGTAAGTATAAGTTGCAAAATATAATAAATAAAAATTCCTCGAAATAAATAATAGTCATTGTTTATTGATTGCCACATTATTGATTTCTAATCCATCTAAGTGACAATTTAATTAGTCGATGATATACAAATGAAGTACAATTACTTGATTTTTAACACTTAAGTGAAAATATAATGACCCTAATGGATTTTGCCCTGTACTTACGAATCTTTTTGTATTCGATCACGAGGAAGGGCAAATACACACACGATAGGTGAAGTGAATTCTAGAGAAGCCAATTGACTTATATGCATTTTTCATTGTTTTGAAAATCGATTTCTACAATTAGAGAATAATTTTCCATAGTTTTGCTATAGAGTTGGATGTAAGAAGAGATTTTTGGATGTGGGCAAGTGGGGGAAGGAGAAGCTAGTGCTGCCAGCGGCAACAATGTAACTGCATTGGCAATGGTGCTATTTCATCGAGGTGGCGATGGGAGTTGGGAAAGATGAAAAATTTTCTTCTTCTTTTTTTTTTAAAAATTATTTCAATTGTTTTAAATGATAAAAGGTGGAAAGACCTTTTTGCCCTTCTAAAAAATTGGGCAACTGCAATTCACATATTAAGAGGCTGTCTGGTAGCACTACCTAGTGAAAATTGGACCGTTGAAATAAGATAAAAGGGACCGTTGCTTGTCATCTTATTTGCAGTACACTGCCATGGCAGCCATTCTTATTGAATATTTATGGCAAAATGACCTTTATGCCATTACCTCAAAAATCATTTTGCCATCAAACANTCCCACTCGTCTAATAAAAGTCAACAATAACGGCTATATTTTCAATTTTAATCCGATTTTAATATCTCTCATACAAGGCCTAAACTAATTGAGTTCGGACTTCGGATGGTTATTGTCCAATTGTCATTGCACTGCATTTTTGGGATAGCGGTGTAAAAAAAAAAAGGCTACGGATCCATTTGCATTTTTTCAAAGGTTAAGAACCTAGCTGCAATTTTCCCATTTTTCTTAAATGAAAAAGATATGAGGTGTTGAACTCATCATCTATTGGCCCTACTTTTGTCAAAAATTCGCGATGGTCCAACAAAAATGTCGAAAAACGAAAATAATTAAAAACCAAAAATAGTCAATTATTTAAAAATAATCAAATTATTATATTATTCATTAAGGAAAAAACTGCCCCCTTCTTTATCGCCCTTATAAAGTTCCATCTTCCCCTCTCATTTCTCCCTCTCTGTCTCAAACGATTTTTATTTCATATTTGCTCTCTCTTAAGAAACATATACATACACTGTGTATGCATAAACCGTGAAAATTAAGTATTTTTTTTTGCTTTATTTTGTATTATTACACTGCAATCGAAAAGAACACAGCTTCAGAGGTACGTTTTCTTTGGCCCATAATCATCAATTCCAATATGTTATGTATTAATTTTTTTCACCTGGGTTGTCTCCTTTTGATCCTAATATTAATCCTCTCTATATATGCTTTTGGGATCTCCGTTTCTTTCAATTCGCTGTTAGAATTTCATCCCTTTGCTTAATTGCTTAGATATCGATTTGTTTGTTATTTTGAAGGAAAATGAAACTATTTGCCTGTTTAATCTGATCAGGTGATATTGTATATTCGGAGAAGAGATTTCAATCGGTTAAAATGCACTGTATTCGGAGATATTTTGATCCCAAAATAGGGTCCCTAGGCCTAGGGTTAGGTTTGTTTTTTGAGTATAGGAAATGGATTTCTGTGTGACAATTTATAGGCTTTCGATATGTTATGCGGGGTGAAAGAATATGGGTCTATTGGGTGAAATTTGAATACTAGGGTATCTTTTAGTTGCGATTGAGTGTGGTGGCGGAAGTGGTAGGTTAAGGGTCAATCAGGTATGGCTGATATTCAGCAACAACTGCAACAGAAATCCGAGAGCACAGCCACTGATGCTCGCTCTGAGTTTGAGAGGGGCTTGGAGGAGTTCATGCGTGGGCGTTATGATGAATGCATGTCCTTCAGTTCGTGCAGTTCTCCACATACGACTACTACTACTGAAGATGAGGAGGATGATGGCGAACAGCTTGTGCGGAGGAGGAGGAGGAGGTCGAATCTTGAGGGTGATGATTTGGCAGAGTCTTCTGCTGCCCGGAGGCGCCAATCGAGGATCTTGAGTAGGTGGGCTGCTCGCCAGGCAGAGGAGATGATCACCACAATTGAAAGGAGGAATCGTGAGTCAGAGTTGATGGCACTTGCAGGCTTGCACACTGTCTCCATGCTTGATTCTTCGTTCTTGAGGGAGTCACATTCCCCAACTTCGAGGCGCCAAGGGAATGTTGAGAGGCTGAGTACCCGGGCCTCCTCTATTTTACAGATGTGGCGGGAGTTGGAGGATGAGCATGCATTTAGTCAAGCTCAGGAGAGGGTAAGGGAGAGGTTGAGGCAGCGAAGGAGTGTGGATTCTAATACAAATATATCAAGTACAAATATGTCTGGAAGTAGAGAGAGTGATAATCAGGGCAGCCTGGAAGGTGCTAGTGAGAGTGAGCATGACTTTGCAACTTGGTCCCAGGATCAGGTGGGCCCACGGAATGAGAATAGGGATCCTGACAATTCTAGTCGGGAACAATCTCCAGATCTAGGGGATGTCGATAGGGAGAGGGTGAGGCATATTGTTCGCGGATGGATGGAGAGTGGCATTAGTGACACTTCATCTAATGTTATGCAGGGGAATGGCAGTCCTAGAGCTGAATGGTTGGGGGAAACTGAGCGTGAAAGGGTAAGGATTGCTAGAGAGTGGATGCAAATGACAAGTCAGCAAAGAGGATCTCGTAGTGGTCGCAGGGAAGAACAAAATAGTGGACTTGGTGCTCAAGTTGACCATGCCCGTGAAGGTTCTGATGTTGCCCACGGGGAAGGTCAGCCAGAGCATATTCGCAGAGACATGTTGAGGTTGCGTGGAAGACAAGCCTTACTTGATTTGCTTGTCAGGATAGAGAGGGAAAGGCAGGGGGAACTTCAGGGCCTATTGGAACATCGTGCTGTTACTGACTTTGCACATCGCAATCGTATTCAGGTTATAACATACTATTCTGGTTTCACTTAAATTTGTATCATATGGTTTTAGTTTTACCGCATCCTTCCAATGTTTAAAGAAGTGCTGATCATGTGCAAGCTTTATTTTTGATCGATGTTATAAGGTATTATTAAAATAATCTTTAACT